TTCTAATCTTACTCCCTGTGGGATCGATATCTAGGACTCCATTAGAGCCTTATATTACTTGAGCGATACGTATACTTACGTTGATAAATGTGACTTTACAATTATTGAATATTTATTACGTCCATATTTATCTTATATTTTTAAGCATATATAAAGTCGCGGTCATCCAGTAAGACGTGGTGGTGATAGTTGGGTGGTTGGAAGATGGCTTGTGCTGCAAGGGGGAGGCAAAGAAATGGTTGCAGTAGCCTTCAGGGTGCTGTAAGGCTTTTGGCGGTAGCCCTGGAAGGAGTGGAAGGCTGGCAAGGCAGCTGGAGATGTGAGAGAGGAGGTGGCAACAGCGGGTGAGAGGGAGCTTGGTCTTGCGGCTAATGGCAGGGAAAGGTTGGTAGGCCTTGACTGTAGCGGGAAAGGGAGTAACCTTCTGTAGGTGCGACTGGGTCGGATGTGTAAGAAGACAGGGCGGAATTGCTGGCTGGCAAGACAGCAACCCTGGAAGGGTAGGGAGGATTTGATGGCACCGCAGTAAGATGGCAGAGGGGATTATAGTGGTTGATTGGTAGTCGGGAAGGGAAGGTCGGAAGATGGTAGCAATAAAAGATGAATAAGGAGGGGGAAACACCACATCGAAATGAGATATCACCGAAGCTCATTCTCGCGTCGAATACAACCCTAGAAGAGAAAAAGGTATGTTGGCGATTGTCCTGACAAATACACTCAGCAAAAACCAACCCTAAACAAAAAAAAATATAATATATTTATAATAGTAGATAACTAAGAGCACTTGAGCGCAACCCTAACTCAAACAATTGGAACCCCCTCCCCCCCTCCCTCCCCCTCTCCCCCTTTGGCTCCCTCACTTCCTGAATCAGTTCAGTGGTTCAGCAACTGATTCAGGAGAACCCTGCGTTAGTCTGCTAGGGTTGGGGGAGCTTTGACTTCATTTGTCGAAACTTCTAACTTTTGTCAGCAATCCTAGTAGCACCTGGATCCCACTATCTGTTGTACTATCTCCTAAAACACTTGAGAATTTTCTCCACTTGCGAGCATACATCTATATCGATCCGTTCTCCTGAGGGTTCACTACTAAGATGAATTGAGTCTACGTGTCTCGCCTATGTTGTTGAATACTCCCAAACTAGTCCACGGTCGACTCAATTTGATCTGAAGTGAGGGTAACCTGAACCTCCTCGAACGGTGGTGACCATGGAGATAAGATATCGGCCATGTTATCCCGAAATGCTCTCTATCGAGACTGTCTAGTGTCTAGAGTTTGTCTCGGTCCTAGAATCCTCTATCATCACAAAAACCGGTCCCACTGATGTTGCCCTGGTGAAAAGGGCGCATGTGATCTCTTGTTCCACCGATAGGAGAAATACTATGTGACTTCCATCCTTAGTAAATGAATAATTGTTTCTAAATCTGTCGCGTTGAATCCTACTGTAAATTTGTCACGGTCTCCCTTAAAAAGGTGGCAAATATCCATAGGAAACACGTCGCATCACACCTGATCTTGTAGCTAGCCCTCAATTAAAAACTCCACTAGGCATCTCCAGTCAATGCTGACCTGTTTTCCTTCTTTAGCCACGCCAGAGAATATGACTGGGAATGCCTCTACGTCGAGGTCCAACTTCTCCAACATCTATATGGACTCCACGTTCTTACTGCTCCCTTCATCAATCATGACACTACATACCTTCTCATTCACGGTGCAATGGGTGTAGAATATATTGTGACGAAGCCACTGTGAATCCTTCATATCCTCGATCTATAGGACCTATCGAACCACGAGTATCTCTCCTTCATCAAGTGGAATATGATACACCTCCCTCTGTTCCTCAACAGTCTCCTCATCGCTAAAATACTCCATGGCGCTATGCTCCGTAAAAGAAAACTCGGCTCGTCGGACAACTTAAGACTATGCCCAAATTCGTGGCATATGAACCATTTTTTTGGCAGGGACAATAGCCGCTATGCTACTGTTCTCAGGCTTTTTCTCAGTGAGGGTAGCTCTATCCTTATCTGAACCAGTTTTCTCGACTCCTTGCGGCGTGCTCTTGCTGATTTCTCTAACTGTGGGTGGTTGCCTGACTAGTAATAGTTGTTTGCTCTGTTTCTGCTACATTTACATTTTCAATGCTAAGATTTGGACATCCCCAAATGACCAATAAGGCTGAAGTTGCACCACATTGCTAATAGCAAGCTTCAGGTCCCCAAGATAGCAAACTGTTATGTGTTCTTCCAGCTCAACCAAATCACACTTCATCTGTTCCTAGTGGTTGAGAGTGGTTGAGAGTTTTTCCTTTCAACCAAAAGATCCTGGAAGGCCTTGCCTATGCGGTGTGCGTGCGTTTGGATTTGTGGGGAAGAAAAGGACCGTGCTTTAATGCATTTTGTATTTTTTTTTCTTTTCTTTAAATTCTGCAAATTAATTAATATAAGCATTTAGTTTACCAGAGTGATATTGATAGATTTTTTATTTATGAAATTGTTGGAGCATTTATAGCACGCACATGAAACCTAAAACATGTATACTTACTAAATTGAGGTGAAGCTTTACTTTAAAATCACAATAAAAGATCTACACAAATTTTCATTTTTTTGAAATTTGTTGAATGTAGCATAAAAAAAACATATAAAAGCATTCTAACAAAAAAAAGTGTGTGGTAAAGCTCCAGCCAGCGCGGGGTTTTGAAGGAGTCTTACATTTAGCTTTATTATAGAGTTGTTTGGTGATTGGAACCCATGAACTCCATGTCGCAATTGAGACAATTTAAACATTGCTCTAAAACCATTTACTCAAATACATTACAGAAAAGTAAATAAAAAGTTTTATATAATTCTACCTTTGCATATATTCATCAAATAACTGTCGAATTTTGTGCCGGGCAGTGAAAAAGGAACTGACTTGCACCAAGGTACTATAACTTTTTGGATTGTAAGGATACATTCGCAAGCTCTGTGTTACAACTTCCCACACTTTTGGAAACTTCAACTGCTTGACATACTGTTGAAGTGTTGCCAAGTAATGCATCCACAAAGATTCAAGTTGCAAATTATGACTTCTTCTTTCTGAAGGCATGTAACAATAATCAGAAATGATTTTAAGACGGTAAAATCAAATCAAACAACTCAAAATGGATCATTTTTTCACACTATGTTGCGATGTAATAAAAATGAAGGACATGCATGGAAAGTCAAGGTTCACAAAAGAAGTTTATTAACAAAAAAAGAAACTCATTCTCACAACCAAGCCCGAGGCTTTGAATTAACTAAAACGAAACGAATGGTCGGGCGGTGAAAATAAATTCTATGTTATTTTATTTCTATCATGAACAATTTAAAGTTCAAATATTCATGGAGCCACTATCATTTTTTCATACTATGTTGCGATGTTATAAAAATGAAGGACATGCATGCTTTGTTAAATCATAGCAAACGTGGAGATATATAGAAAGTTAAGAGCCATGACAAAAAAAGTTTATCGACAAAAAACTAAACTCATTGTCATGGCCCAACCAAAGGTTTGAAATTAACTAAGATGAAAACGGACGGTCGAGCGGTGGAAATAAATTCTCCGTTATTTTATTTCTATCAATAACAATTTAATATTAAAATATTCATGAAAGAGCGACTAAAGAAAGTAATTTAATTACGTAGAATTTTTACTTTTCCGGTCACTTTTCTCGCCTTTTATAAACATTAGCTCATCTTCTATTCATCTTATTAAAAAGCTTAAAACCTGAAAAATGTTAAAATAATATAATGAGTTATCTAAAGACAATCCATAAGCAATCACACTTCTAAATTATAGTAATACAATGATAGTCTTTCATATTTATATAAAAAATTTATAATAATATAATGTATGTATTCAAGGCATTTAATAGAAATAATTTAAACTTCAATATGCATTAACTTTGACTTTTACTTTATACATTTAACATTTACATTTGTCTTAGAAGCATCATCAAAACATAGCCTACATACCCCTGCTAATTTTATTATGTTGGCAGAACTATTCATGATTTAATTTACACGATCGTCTGAGGTAAAAAAGTGTCTATTCGCCCCTAGTTAATATTCCCTCATCAGCACAGCGGTTAGCGATATAAATAACACAATTGTCTGGAGTGACATGATAATATCTACGCGTGTTGGTATACTGGAGTCCTCTGCATATATCATAATGTGGTGAACTCCTCTTAATATGCACATACAAACATTCATAGATACATAACTTCATTCTTCATATCATACATTTTTATGAAACAACTCATGAGACGACTTATATTTATCTACCAATAAAACGTAAATTTACTAAATATGATGGTAATGAAATAAATTGATAAATGCATATATACTAGAATTTATATGCCATGGAATCATTAAAGCTCGGCCAAATTACATAAAGGAGCGCGTAATTTAAGTGATTTAGGTGAAGAAACACCGATTGAGAAAACTTTTAAATGGAGCGGATGCGCCCCCACCAGGGACACATTAAATTAGAATGTGCGCGTATCTCTATTTTTTTTAATTTTATTAAAATCTCTTTGTTTTCTTTAACTTTGTTTTACTTTTATATATAATAATTTATATATTAACTTTAGCTTTTGTAATACATGTATTAATATCTCTTTGTTTTTTTTAATTTTATTAAAAATATATTTATTATAAATATTATTACTATGAATATAAGTATATATATATATATATATATTATAAAGCAAATATTATTAATGGTAGAAAGAAGATGTACATCTAACATGAGGGATGTTAAGTAAATCCCCATGTAATAAGGAGCTAAAGAAAGAAGAAGGATAAGAACTACATATAATCTCCCTTGAAGAAGCAGCTTCCTTAGCTAACCAATTTGTTGGTTGATTACCCTCTCTATTGATATGACTCCAAATAATGAATAAAGAAGAAGAAATATTTAGAATCTTGTTAATTCAGATTTGAAGATACCAAGGAATATCAGCTTTATGAGTAAGAATCAATAAGAATCTGCAGCAAGGACAATGAATCCATTTCTATATGTATGTAGGAATAATTATGCAGAATAGCAATTTTAATCCCCCAACAGACAACCAATGCTTCGATTTCAATTGTAGAAGTAGTAGAAACAGGTGATGAAAAGAACCATGAGCAATGCCCTCTATAATCCCTACATACGCCTCCAATACCCGCAGCTGAAATTCTGTAACTTTCATCTATATTAATTTTAAACCAAGGAGAATCTGATTTCCTCCAAAGAACTAACTGAAATTTTTTAACTATTGATGTTTTATTATGATGAGGGAGCAACGGTTGTATTTTACTAGGATTGACTAGGCAGTTCTTAGCAATACAATTAGCCGATGAAAGTATATCCTGATGAATCCTATTATATCGAGTCATCCAAATAAATCAAAAAATAATGAAAGGAAGATAAAATTCTGCTGAAGATTTCCAATCCTGCCAACAAGCTTCAATGCTGATCCAGCGAAAAACTGTGAAAGATTTTGTAGTTGCCTGAATTACAAAAGTCCGTACATCTTGAGCTATAGAGCAATGAATAAATAGATGATTAATAGATTCCTCATCTCCGTGACATAAATGACATCATGAAGGACCTCTAAGACCTTTAAGCTTTAATATATCATCCGTAGGTAAAAATTTTCGAAATAATTTCCAGCAAAAAAAGACAAATGGTGTGATGAATTTATTCCATATCAGATCTCCCCAGTCAGTAGTAGGCCAATTAAAAGATGAGGAGTATATATACTTAGATAAGCTTTGATATTGAGAATTTTTTGTGATTAATCTGTCTTTCTTCGAAGGATTCAAAGTCACGGCCAGTATTTTTTTATGAGTCTTCTTATTAACAATGACATTAAGCTTGGTTGAATCCCAAGCATAATTCTTCCAGCAATCAGAAACCTTTTCAATATTAGAATGTTGAGTGAAACTATCTTTCAGTGATCCATTAAATAACCAATTATCAAACCAGAAATGAATTTGACCATCTCCAACTTCCCATATAAAAAGATCTTCAGCTTGTGCTCTGATTTTTAGAAGTTCTTTCCAATTTTTTGAATCACCAACTTTGGGTTGAACTTGAGTTGGATGTAAACCTTGAAAATATTTGCTATGCATAAATTTAGCCCAAAGAGAATTCATCATTCCAAGCTTAACCCATTGTTTACAATAAAACATAAAACTCAACTGTGGAAAACTCTTGAAACCCAATCCTCCACTTGCAATAGGTTTACAAACTTTATCCCAATTGGTCCAATGCAACTATTTATTTTGTCATTCCCATAAAAATTTGTTAAAAATAACAAAGAGCATAGTACTTTTCTTTAACTTTATCATTTGTAGAATATAAAGAGGAAAAGTGGTTAACACACTTTTTAGAAGAGTAAGTCTCCCGCCATTAGAAAGGAAGGAATTAGTCCAACAATGAATTTTGGAAATAACATTTTCCACAACATCATCATAATGTGAAAGTTTCCTTCTACCTTTGATAAGAGGAAAACCCAGATACTTAAGTGGATAGGTAGTTTCTTTAAATCTAGTATAATCAGAAATCCAAATTCTGATATATGTGCTAACTTTTGAGCTTGGTAAAAATTGACCTTTAGCCTTATTAAAAGCCATACCAAAAATTTCTTCAAATTCAAACAAAATCTTCATCAAGTATTTAATGGAATTTTTGCTTCCATTAGGGAAAACAATAACATCGTCAGCATAGGCTAAATGACTAACCATGCAATTAGATCTGTGTTGGTATTGAATATGAGGATGCAATTTGTGTGAATGATTTAACATTCTAGATAAATAATAAAAAACCAAAATGAAGATATATGGAGATAATGAGTCACCATGCTTTATACCTCTTCCAGATTGAAAGAAACCATGACACTTCCCATTAACCATAACACTGTACTGAGCATATTTAAGCCATCTCAGTATCAAATGGCAAAAATCAGTTCGAAATCCTCTGGCAGATGATACATAAAAAATGAAGGTCCAACTGATAGAATCAAAGGCTTTAGTAAGATCTAACTTGAAAACGATATTAGACCCTCTACAAGATTTATCAATATCAGTAATTAATTCTTGAGCTAGAAGAATATTATCACTAATACATCTTCCTTTGACAAAAGCTGATTGATTCTCAGTAATTAAATCAGTCAACAGAGACTGCAATCTAACAACAATAATTTTGCTAATAGCTTTAGAGAAAGTGCCGGTCAAACTAATAGGCCTAAAATCATGCAAGGTACTTTTCTTTTTACCTTTAGGAATTAATACAATAGTTGTAGCAACAAAATATTAGGTAAATCATTACCAAAAAAGAAGCTTTGAACTGCAAAAAGAACTTCAACTTTAATAATATCCCAGAATTTTTTATAGAAATTCGCAGTATATCCATCTGGTCCTGTAGTCTTATTACTATCAATTGCAAAAAAAATTGCACGAATTTCATCTTCATCCGATGAACAATTGGGAACAAAGAAGAAAGTTAACAAGAAGTAGTTCCTTGATAGGATAATAATCCTTGAAAATGATCAACAACACTATCAGCAATTTCCTGAGGATCTGAAAGCCATATATTAGCATCATTTTTTATCTTAAGGATAGCATTAAGAGATCTTCTATATTAAATAACTGCATGATAAAATTTAGAGTTTCTATCTCCATGAAGAAACCAATTATTTGAAGCTTTCTGTTGTAGATACAGTTCTTCCTGATTTATTGCAGTAATCAATCTTTCATTAGCCTCCATTAGAAAGTCATCGCATTCTTGGCCTTCTTCAATTTGTTTCTCAAGATCAGCAACATCTCTTTCAGCCTGAATAACATTTTGATGAAGATCCCCAAAGACATTCAAATTCCAGTGCTTGAAACTTTTAGAAAGTCTCTTTTGTAATAACCAAAGCTTCTGCATAGGATCCCCATGAAAATTAGGAAGAGGAGTATTCCAATCAGTTTCCACTAATTCTTTACAGCTGGAATGATTAGACCATACATTTAAATACTTAAAAGCAAAATATTTAAAAGCTGGGATGATAGAGAATTTATCG